TTTTGTACATTCTGAATCCTATAAACTTCTTGAATTTAGATTTCCAATTCATTTTTCATGTTTGGAAAATTTTCTGATATTTCATTGAATAGATTGTTCATTCCTTTGGTTTGAACCTCTATGCCTTCCTGTATCGCAATAACTCTTAAATTTTTATGCTTTTTATGCTATCCCATATTTCTTGAATGTTCTGCTCGTGGTTTCTTACCATTATCACTGTGTGTCTATGTTCTTTTCAAGATTATATATTTTATCATCATTGTTTGATGTCCTATCTTCCAAGTGGTTTACTCTGTTGGTGATGCTTTCATTTAAGCTTTTGATTTGGTTTATTGTTTCTTTCATTTCAAGGATTTCTGTTTGGATTTTTTTTTTTAGAACTTCTATATCCCTGTTGAGGTGATCTTTTGCTTCCTGTATTTGTTTATGTAGCTCCTTGTCAACGTGATCTTTCACTGCTTGTATTTGCTTTCTTATATCTTCCTTGAGTTCACAGGACATTTTAACCATGTACATCCTGAACTCCTTCTCTGTCATTTCCTCTGTTGTGGCTGCCAATGATTCTCATGATGTGGTGACTTGATTTGTTTGGGGCACTTTCTTCCCTTGTCTTTTCATGTTGCCTGTGTGTCTTCCTTTCCAGCTCTGTGGGTTTGGGATGTTATTGTTTTTACCCTATAGGCTTGCAGTGCTCTTGTAGGATTCCAAGACCCCTCCTCTGTGGGGAAGGACAATGTTAACAGATCCCAATATCAACAATATACCACCTATAACAATTTGTTGTTATTAAGACGTTTACAGTTTAGTCTCGATGTACAAAAATGTTGGATTCAAATGTTATCTAAAATATAATCAGTAGTTTTATAAAAAAGGTTTACAGTTTCTGATGTTTGTCAATGAACTGGGGGTGAGGCATAGGACGATATGCTGAGGAGGTAGGATGTGAGGATATAGAGTTAATAAATCTTAGGAAGTGTGAAAGAAATTTAATAAAGAGGGTTAGTAGCAAGAGAATAGACAGGAAGTAATTTAGGGTAGGCAGGTACGTGGGAAGACAGTAGAGTGCATAAAACAAACATACATATGTATTTACAAAAATACAGGATGTTAAAATGGTAAAATTTGGAGGGGGAAAGAAAATGAAAGAAGAAAAAGGGGAAAGGGGCATATACAACACCTCTATATTATATTATTCAGATGTCTTAGTCCGTAAAATTCTATTTCATGAAAACTTATTGGTTTCACATATGTTGGGAGTGTGAGGACCGGAGAATAAAGGGGTAGAAGAGAAAAAAAAAAAAAAAAACTCTGAAGGAAGAAATCAGGGTTGTTGCTAGTTTTAGAGATCCATATCTTTCCTTCCTGCTTCTCTTCTCATCCGATAGGTGGGGTTGTCTGTTGTAAGCTGGTGTCTCTGCCATCAGGCTGGTGGAGGTAACCAGGGTGGGAAGGCTGGTCCTGATGTAGGGTGACTGGAAGCGGGAGTGGTACCTGCCAGTCCCTGCAGGAAGACTGCACCTCCTGCACCTCACGGGTCTCTTTTTGGGACTGCTTGTATGACTTGAGCACCCTGTACTATCTCCCTATCTTGCCTGGAGATTTCCCAATTYCTGGTCTCTCTGTTAGGCTCCAGACTTTAGCCCCATCTCCCTCTCCCTTAGCAATTCCCAATTGAGTAACCTCTCACACCGGGACTCCTGTGGGCAGCACTCTGGTCACAATGCGCACCTGTGTTGGGCAGCTACTGTGTTGGGTTACCACCACTGAGGAGAGGGGAAGGTTGAAAACCTGGTACCTGGCTGCTGGAAATTTGATCTGGGAGSTGCCCCCACCTAATATGGCAAGAATGTTGAGCCAAGATGGAAGCAGTCTACTTTCAATGCCGGGGTATCTGATGAGGTGGGGGGAGCCAGGCAATGGCATTGTGCTGTGGGTAGGTAGCAGCTGAGTGACCTGCGTGGGAGCAGAGCAAAGCCTTGGAGATCTGCAGATGTGTTGATCTGCTAAGGAGCTCGGCAGCCCTGCGTTAGCTAGAATTTTGGACTTGGGTGTTGGGAACCAGGGGTCCTGCTCTAACGCTGAGGCCCAGAGYCCTGCACGGGTCACAGCACTGGTGATTTCTTCAGAGAGCAGCTGTATAGGGGTCCCCTAACACTCTCAGAGATGCAGTATTCCAACTAGGTGAGATCTGGATCACAGAGTGACACAGAATGCTGCCTCCCTCTGGCCCATCAAATTTCACCACCCACAAATAAATTTTTTTAAATTAACAATCTAGGGCTTGGGATGTGGCTCAAGTGGTGGCACACTTGTCTGGCATGCAAGGGGCGCTGGGTTCCATCCTCAGCACCACATTAAAATAAAATAAAGATATTGTGTCCACCTAAAAAAAATCTAAAAAATAAATATTAAAGTTAACAACCTAATAAAAAACAGGAAAGGGAAATAAAAGTGAAACATCTATGGTTTCTTCATGATTTAGAATAAAAATTAATGAAAAWTTAACAAGAATATGTAAAGCTGAAAAAATAATGAGAGTGTGTAAAGAAAAATTAATGATAACATGTAAAAACCTCTAAAATATAATTAAGTGAAAAAATATATAAGGTTCAAAAATTTGTATTTAGTAAGCTAGCATTTGTATCAAATGGAGGAAAAATTATTTACTATTCACAAAAATTATGGGAAACGAGTAATGGAGTACAGGGTAATAGAAACTGCTTTTGCTACATATTTTAATATAATTCATTTTTAACTATGCAAATAAAGTATCTAGTTAATAAAAAATAAACAATTAGATGTCTATTGAAATGGCCAGACTGTGCCAAGGGACAAAATAAGTTATAATTAACATGTATAGAATGTTTTTTTTTAAAGTGTGTTAGTATTAGGAATTGCTGTGTCTATGGGTCTAAAGAAAGATATATAAACATTTGTATAAAATTTTAACATTAGTTACTTAAGGATGTAAAGGGATATTTTTAACCCTTCATGGTCTTTGACTTGTTTCAGTGATTAAATGCTGCTTTGGATTTTTTTAAAAAATGGAACAATTCAATTTTTTTAATAAATGAAAATATTTTTGGATTATTTTGCCACAACTAAAAACTAATTGTGTACAAAATGTAAATAAATACAAAAACATCTTCTTTTCTAGAAGGTCGTAATATGGGTATATGATCCAGAAAATTCAGATCCTGAGGAAGTACAACTCATTGCACGTGAACCCTCACTGGTAGGTGGAAAGATATTGTCATTATTCCTGCTTTCTTTTTTTTTTTTTTTTTTTTTTTGGTATAGAGATTGAACTCAGGGTTCTTAACTACTGAGCTAAGAACATACCCAGTCCTTTTTATTAATTTATTTTTTAAATTTTGAGACAGGGTCTCACTAAGTTGCTTAGGTCCTCACTTAGTTGTTGAGTTGTTGAGGCTGGCTTTGAACTTGAGATCCTTGTGCTGCAGSCTCCCGAGCCACTGGGATTACAGGCATGCACCACCACACCTGGCTGTGCTTTTACTTTCATCTTTCTGTATCCTTATATTTTCAACATATGTCCTATAAGCACCATAAATGTTTTTATGGTTTTATCTTGACCAACATTAAGTATTAATAATTAGATCATTAAGTCCAGTTACATTTAATATAGTTACTGATATATTCTTATTTTTTGCTTTAAATTTTGTTCTCCCTATTTTATTTTCTTTCTTTTGTTGCCTGATGGCAGTTTTTAATCTCTCAACACTTTATCATTTCACTGTCTTAGGAAATTGTCTTTCATCCTGTGACTCCTTCAAAAGCGTTTTAGCCTAGGTTCAAGAAAAGTGTAACAGAGAAGGAAAGAAATATAGTTACTGTTCTAGGGTTGTAGCTCAGTGATAGAGTGCTTGCCTACTATGTATGAGGCACTGGATGCAACCTTAAGCACCACAAAAAAATAAATTAATTAATTAAATAAAAATATTGTGTTCATCTACAACTAAAAAAAAATTTAAATATACTTTTTTTTTTTTGGTGTTTTGTTTTGTTTTGGTATGTGTGTGGTACAGGAGATTTAACCCAGGACCTTGCACATTCTAGCAAGCGCTGTAGCCTCCAGCCTCCTGGAAATCTAGTTTTTAAGTTGTCAGTACAGTAGTACATCAGARTCTCACCAAGTCCCTCCAAGGAGTTATGCAGAATGTATCTTAAAATTATTCACCAAACRAACAAAATACACCTGGGCATTAGCTTCACAAAGTAACAGAAAAACCCCCATTCTCCATTGGTCAAAGGTTGTTGCCAAAGCAATGGCTAGATTAAAAAGTGGGAGTAGAAGAAGCAGGTTACAAAAGGTAAATAAGTAATAATCCAATATTTTTTCTTCCAGCTACTTTAAAATATTTGTCTTTTGTTTTCTTCAGTTTTATTATGCTGTGTCTAAATGTAAATTTTATTGATTCTTTTTAGTCATATAAAACATTAGGATACATTTTGACATAATCAGAATATTGTGAAATACATTTGCTCTAATTCAGTCCTTAGCCATTCCACCTCCCCCATTCTCTCTGTTCCCCTCCCTGTATAATACTGATCTCTTTGCAATTTATTTATAGTATTTTTAAAAATTAGTACCTTAAGGATATAATTGATGTTGGAATTCATTGTCCTATATTCATGCATTCACTTACAAAGTTTGGTTAGATTCATTCCACCATCCTCTGCCACCCCATGCCTCCCTCCTCCCCCTTAATTCCCTTCATCTATTCTACTGATCCTCCTCTATTTTGATGAAATTCTCTCTCTATTTTTTCTTTTTCCTCTCTCTTCTCCTGCCCCTTATTTTGGATTATCTTCTGCATATCAGAGAAGACATTCAATCTTTGACTTTTGGGGATTGGCTTATTTCACTTAGCATGATAGTCTTCAGTTCCATTCATTTACCAGCAAATGCCATCATTTCATTCTTTATGATGGAGTACTACCCCATTGTGTGTGTGTGTGTGTGTGTGTGTGTGTGTGTATCACATTTACTTTATCCATTCTTCTGTTGAAGGGCACCTAGGTTGGTTCAATAGCTTGATTATTGCAAACTGTACTATTGTAAATATTGATATGTCACTATAGTATATTGATTTTAAATCTTTTGGATATATACTGAAGATTGGGATAGGTGGATCATATAGTGGTTCCATTCCTAGTTGGTTTTTTGTTTTTGTTTTTGAGGAATCTCCATACTGCTTTCCAGAGTGGTTGTACTAATTTGCAGTTCCACCAGCAATKTATAAGTATACCTTTTCCCCCACATCCTCACCAACATATATTATTATCTGTAGTCTTTAAAAAAGAAAAAAAATATTTTTCCCCACACTGGTGTTTTTGTTATAGCAATTCTTTATTTTTTAAGTTATTTTATTTATTTATTTTTATGTGATGCTAAGGATCAAACCCAGTGCCTCTCACATGCTAGGCAAGCACTCTGCTACTAAGCTGCAGCCCCRGCCCCTATTATTTGTGTTCTTGATAACTGTCATTCTGACTGGAGTGAGGTAAAAATCTCAGTGTAGTTTTGATTTGAATTTCCTAAATAGAAGACTTTTTCCAATATTGATTGACTATTTGTGTTTCTTTTTAAAAAAAAATAGAAACAGTACTACTTTATTAAAATACTGAATTTATTTCACATGTATATTTTTGTCTCCCCACCATTTCCATGTCCAACCACCATTACTACTATGTCCTATCATAACATTCCATACATACTTAAAAACCAAGCAAAGGGTGGAGTTCTATCTTGAAATACTAAACAGGCATTTTGCACAACACATTCTTGGCAAGGGAACCTGGACAACATTTATCAAACACGATAGGGAAAGTTCTCACTTTGCATTATAAAAAGGACAGCCAGATACCAACGGTTTACAGAAATGAAATGAGACAGAAATTTTTTACAAACTGTTTAAACTATTTTCTTAATGAGACTTCCTCCACTGCCAGAATAGCCTACGGGTTAGTCATCTGGAAGCAATTTTTCACATCATTGATGAACTTGGCTTCCACTTTGGAAAGAGAACCACCTTTCTCTATACTTGCTTAAATTTTTGCTTTAATGTCTTCTACAGAACTAGTGCCTTTTGGTGTTTTAGGAGTTTTTTTCTGTTTTTGTTTTTTTTTTTTTTTTAAGGATTCTTGGCCTTTGGATCTTGGTGTTGATGATTTTGAGTCTTTTCCACTCTGCTTTTATATCTGTGCTTTTTTGACTGGAGTATCTCATAGATTTCTTCAATGGAGCTTTTTCTTCAGTTTCCTCATCATCAAAATTTTCTTCTTCTTCTTCTTCTTCTTCTTCTTCTTCTTCTTCTTCTTCTTCTTCTTCTTCTTCTTCTTCGGCAGCAAGCTTTGCTTTTTTTCTGTGGAACCTTGCTACCACCTTGAGAGGCAAATCTCTTTCCAGATACACTTAAGAGTTTTATATCCTCCTCCTCTTCATGTTCTGTCTTTCTCCACAGCTATTAAGTGTTGTCCACTAATATGCACARGCCCTAGACTGCACTTCAACCTTAAGACCACACGTGATATGATTTCAAAGCCCAAAGTTCCTTTGCCCATTTTTTGATTGGGTTATTTGGGGATATTATTTTGGGGGGTATGAATTGTTTTTGAGTTTTTCAGTTTTATTTTTATTATGCTGTGTCTAAAAGTAAATTTTTTTGAAAAAAAAATATTCTTCCTGGAATTATTTGACTGTGAGAATCTGGTTTGGACTCTTGTGATCTTAGCCATATATTTTCAAGGTCTCAATTTTTTTTTCTCCTTTCCTCTAGTATTCCAAACAATAAACATGTTAGGGTTTTTTTTTTTACATATTTTTTACATATTTTCGTGGGATGGATTTTTTCATTTCATTACATGGGATTCCATTTCAATGTATATTAGACTATCTGACTTATCTGCTATATCTTTTGCCATCTTCTTTCCATATTCTTTTTTAAACTCTCTATGCCACATTTCGCATAGAGATTTCTTTCGACAAACCTCCAGGTCACTAATTCTTTCTACTCTGATATCAAACCAACTCATTGACCTCTTTATATCAATTATTGTAGACATTTTATTTGATTGTTTAACAAATCTTCTATTTTACTTTTATAGTTTTCTATTCCCTGTAGATAGGCAAAGACATCAACAGACTGAAGGTGAAAGGATGGGGGAAAAAAACRTATCATTCACGTGGATCTCATGAATAAACAGGTGTTTCTATCCTCATATCACATAAAGTAGACTTCAGGCCAAAGTTAATCTTAAAGGACAAAGGAGGATGTTTTATACTTCTTCAGGGAATCATACATCGATGAGACATAACAATCATATACATTCATGCCCCAAACAATGGAGCATCYATATACATCAAAAAAGCCCTTGTAATTTCAAGAATCAAGTAAACCACAACATGATAATACTGTGTGACTTTAACATATCTTTCTCATCACTGGATAGATCCTCCAAACAACAACTAAATAAAGAAACTATATAACTAAAAAAATACAATTAATAATTTGTAGTTAACTGACATATATAGAATATTTCATCCATCAATGACTGAACACACTTTCTTCTCAGTAGCACATGAATCCTTCTCTAAAATAGACCATATCTTAGGCCACAAATCAACTCTTAGCAATATGAAAAAAATAGAGATAATACCTTGCATTGTATCATCTATGAAGCTTGTATCACTTTAATACCAAAACTAAAAAAAGATACATCAAGGAAAGGAAACTTCAGACCAATAATATATCTGATCAATGATAAAATAAAAATAGAAGCTATTCTAACACCTAGATACTAAAGAATACACTRTTGGATGACAAATGTATAGCAAAATAAATCAGGAATGAAGTAAAAAAAATACAAAGAGAAAGAGAAAACTCAAATTACTAAAATTCCTTCTGCAAAAGAAAATATCATGAAGGACACTACTAAGATAGAGATGATAATTAGAAACCATTTTGAAAGTTTATACTCTAATAAAATAGAAAATCTTGAAGACATCAACAAATTTCTAAAGACATATGACCTACCCAAATTGAATCAGAAGGACTTAGAAAACTTAAACAGTTTAATTTCAAGCCATGAAATAGAGATGCCATTAAAAGCCTACCAACAAAGAAAAACCCAGAACTGACGGATTCTCAGCCCAGTTCTACCAGACCTTCAAAGAAGAACACACAACAATCCTCTTCAAATTTTTCCATG